TGGCTGGCTGCTTGGTTCTGTCCTAGGCAGTCGCATTTCCAATGGCGATACTGTATGGCGTATTTTGTTCCTTATTTCATGTCTCTGACGACGATGGCGGAGACGCCGGGCAGGACGAAGAGCATGTCTATGCGGTTGTTCTTAGTGCTAGCAATGCCTCTGCTGATGTTATTGTCATTGATAATACGTTCATTTCTGCATCTCTCGCACATTCACAATGTGTGTGTACAGTGTAATGTTACTCTATTTGCAGGACAAACATGTATGGAGAAGTGGACTTTCTTCCTTTTCATTGGTATATAGCAATAGAAAATTTCTATTACCATTCTCTCTGGTATTCATTTGCTTCGGCACTAATTTCAACTTAGTGGATTTCTAAGGGTACACAAAACCGCATTTTCTGAACTCCTACCCCCTCCTCCTCCTACCTTCTCTCTGTCCTACATTTCCTGCTTTTAGGCTCCTTAATATTTCTCTCGTGGCAAATGCATTCGCTTGTATTTGACGTATTGTCATTAGTGGCGAAATGAAAATGGCGTTCCAGCCGCCTAGGTAATGTTCTGCTGGAGATTATAGCATAGCCTTATGTATTGGACCTTTGCTTCGGCACTAATTTTTTTGGGAGACCTATATAAGGCGTAGATTTTTTAAATCATTTTTTGGGAGACCTATATAAGGCGTAGATTTTTTAAATCATTTTTTGTGAGAGAAATATATAAGGCGTAGATTTTTTTAATCATTTTTTGGGAGACCTATATAAGGCGTAGATTTTTTAAATCATTTTTTGGGAGACCTATATAAGGCGTAGATTTTTTAAATCATTTTTTGGGAGACCTATATAAGGCGTAGATTTTTTAAATCATTTTTTGGGAGACCTATATAAGGCGTAGATTTTTTAAATCATTTTTTGGGAGACCTATATAAGGCGTAGATTTTTTAAATCATTTTTTGGGAGACCTATATAAGGCGTTGATTTTTTAAATCATTTTTTGGGAGACCTAAATAAGGCGTAGATTTTTTTAAATCATTTTTTGGGAGACCTAAATAAGGCGTAGATTTTTTAAATCATTTTTTGGAGACCTATATAAGGCGTAGATATATAAGGCGTAGATTTTTTAAATCATTTTTTGGGAGACCTATATAAGGCGTAGATTTTTTAAATCATTTTTTGGGAGACCTATATAAGGCGTAGATTTTTTAAATCATTTTTTGGGAGACCTATATAAGGCGTAGATTTTTTAAATCATTTTTTGGGAGACCTATTAGATTTTTTAAATCATTTTTTGGGAGACCTATATAAGGCGTAGATTTTTTATATCATTTTTTGGGAGACCTATAGAGGAGGGTAGAGAAGTTGTGGTCTCTGATGCTCAATTTGTTGCTGTTACTGCAATATGATTAACAAGAGTTGCCAGATTTCCCTGCACTCGAAAATCGACCAAAACTAAATTTTAGAGGCATCAGAAAAAATTATTTAAACAATCTACGCCTTAGACAGATCCTAGAAAAAATTATTTAAACAATCTACGCCTTAGACAGATCCTAGAAAAAAATTATTTAAACAATCTACGCCTTAGACAGATCCTAGAAAAAAATTATTTAAACAATCTAAGCCTTAGACAGATCCTAGAAAAAAATATTTAAACAATCTAAGCCTTAGACAGATCCTAGAAAAAAATTATTTAAACAATCTACGCCTTAGACAGATCCTAGAAAAAAATTATTTAAACAATCTACGCCTTAGACAGACCTCCGAAAAAATTATTTAAACAATCTACGCCTTAGACAGACCTCTACGCCTTATGTAGGCCTCCGAAAAAATTATTTAAAAAATCTACGCCTTATGTAGGCCTCCGAAAAAATTATTTAAAAAATCTACGCCTTATGTAGGCCTCCGAAAAAATTATTTAAAAAATCTACGCCTTATGTAGGCCTCCGAAAAAATTATTTAAAAAATCTACGCCTTATGTAGGCCTCCGAAAAAATTATTTAAAAAAATCTACGCCTTATGTAGGCCTCCGAAAAAATTATTTAAAAAATCTACGCCTTATGTAGGCCTCCGAAAAAATTATTTAAAAAATCTACGCCTTATGTAGGCCTCCGAAAAAATTATTTAAAAAATCTACGCCTTATGTAGGCCTCCGAAAAAATTATTTAAAAAAATCTACGCCTTATGTAGGCCTCCGAAAAAATTATTTAAAAAATCTACGCCTTATGTAGGCCTCCGAAAAAATTATTTAAAAAATCTACGCCTTATGTAGGCCTCCGAAAAAATTATTTAAAAAATCTACGCCTTATGTAGGCCTCCGAAAAAATTATTTAAAAAATCTACGCCTTATGTAGGCCTCCGAAAAAATTATTTAAAAAATCTAAAAAATTATTTAAAAAATCGCCTTATGTAGGCCTCCGAAAAAATTATTTAAAAAATCTACGCCTTATGTAGGCCTCCGAAAAAATTATTTAAAAAATCTACGCCTTATGTAGGCCTCCGAAAAAATTATTTAAAAAATCTACGCCTTATGTAGGCCTCCGAAAAAATTTTAAAAAAATTACGCCTTATGAAGTTTTTATGTTAGTATGTGTGTCCATTTGTTTTACTTGTGTAAATATATATATCTAACTAAAGTAAAACTTTCGTATGTCTGGACGACCAAGTGTCTGGGAAATTTTTCATTTCCTGTCTTGCTTCTTCACTTCTCATACCTTGAAAGCACAGCAGACTTTCTATTCTCTCAAATTTCCAGGCGTTTTTATGTGTATCAAGGTCAAGTAAACATAAATAAATATCTCGCAGAGGAGTTGCATTATTATTTGTATACATAAATATTCAAAAGGAAGGTCAAGTTTTTAGTTATTTATATATGACATGACCTACAAACAATTGAAGAAGACGTAGATTTTTTAAATCATATTTTTCTGAGGCCTATCTAAGATGTGGATTTTTAAAATAATTTTTTTTGGGAAGGCCTATCATCAGCCGTGGATTTTTTAAATAATATTTTTTCCGAGTCCTATCTAAGGCGTGGATTTTTTAAATAATTTTTTTTTAATAATTGATTGAATAGAGATGTTTATTGACATAAGTAATCATCAAAATACTCTAGAATAAGAATTATCTGGAATAGAATTATTTAGAACATGTAACGAGTAAATAAAAGAAGTTGTGATCACAGAACGATGTCTCAGTTGTGAAGTATAAGCTCTATTGCTAAAGTGTGGTCATAAGTGTAAAAGTACCGAGTCCTGTAAATAAAAGTTTGAAGTTTGTGTAAATAAAGTTTGAAAACCCCCCGAATACAAAAGTGTGTTTTAATTCCTGTGGACATCGCCCGAACTTTAGAAAATAATTTCAACAAGTATACACAAGCCGTAGATGTTTTAAATAATTTTTTCTAAGGCCTAGCTAAGGCGTAGATTTTTTAAATAATTTTTTCTGAGTCCTATCTAAGGCGTGGATATTTTAAATAATTTTTTTCTGAGTCCTATCTAAGGCGTGGATTTTTTAAATAATTTTTTCCTATCTAAGGCGTGGATTTTTTAAATATTTTTTCTAAGGCTTAGCTAAAGCGTAGTTTTTTAAATAATTTTTTCTAAGGCCTAGCTAAGGCCTGGATTTTTTAAATATTTTTTTTCAAGGGTCTACAGCCTAAGAGTAGATTTTTTCCATTGGCAACACCTTTGCGTTGCCAATTTGTTTATAATTTTTTTTTGGTTTGATGATTTGTAACCCTTTTCCATTGCCTACTTTAAGGCTTTCTTAAATAAATATTGCCACATTATTTTCAATTGTCATAAAAATTTATTATTTTTCAATATAAAAGAAATTACATTTGCTTTTTTTGGCTTAAACTCTTTCGTACAAATTACAAAAATATTATATATTTAAAAATAATAATTTTAACTAATAGCTAAACTACAATTATTTGTAACTTAGACCTAGACTATGATTACAAAACCTTTACAAAAAAAATTTTTTTAGAAATATAATTATAAATTAATATTTAAAAGAAGGTATAGAAAAATTTAATTAAACTAAACTAAAAAAAATATACAAAAAGAAAAGGATAAGAAAAGGAAGAGGAAAAAATTCGGAAGGAAAGTCAATGGGAAAGCCATGTTTTGGAGTAGGGATCACTTGGGAGAATGGAGTAGGTATCTATGGGGAGAATGGAGTAGCGATATGAAGGGAGAATGGAGTAGACATCCCAATGTAGATTTTAGTAGGAGTAGGATTTATGTATTGGGTACAACCTTAATTTGCATGCCGTAAAGTAGGCAACAATAGGGAGTATAGAGTAGGTATCAGTTGGGAGTGTAGAATAGGGATAAGTTGGAAGTGTGGAGTAGGGATAAGTAGGAAGTATGGAATAGGTATCAGTTGGGAGTGTGGTGTAGGTATCACTTGGGAGTGTTGAGTAGCTATCAGTTGGGAGTGTTGAGTAGGTATCAGTTGGGAGTGTGGAGTAGGGATAAGTAGGGAGTACTGAGTACTTTTTAATTATTTTTTTCATTTCGGCTTCCAATTAACCTTCCGTTTTTTTATAAATTAAAACTAATTTCACTTGATTTAAAACAAATAATATACAAAAAAATATTATATAAATATTAAAGGGCGGATATTTGTTTTTAAATATTAAATATTTAGATTTTTACTGGTAACCATTTTGAGACAAGAAATAATTATAGAAAATTAAATAAAATATGGAATGAATGAAATTTATGAATGATTTGAAAATGGATTCAAGGGAATGTCAATGAGGAAAATTTTTTTCAATGGGAAAAATTTACTTTTCTGAAATATTTTGTGAGCTTTTGTGATATCTATTAACTGTGTCTACATATTTTAAATGATTGTTTTATAAAAATAATAAATATTTTATGTCATGATGTTTTAATTCTTCTGTGAGAGATGATAATCTATGCGAGACTTGACGTAAAAAAATTTTGCGAAATACTTTTTTTTTTAAATTAAAAAGAATAGCTAAACCTAAATTCTCTGCTTACGCCTTACGTTTCAGACCCACCATACACAGCGTAAAGAAAATTACAATCCAGGCAGCCATGACCAAAAAGCCACCATATACCTTGCCATTGGTAATATCCCAACCTTTCTCGAGGATATTACGGGCCGATATTGAGGGCAATGTAAAGGGGAAATATAATACCACGTCCTGCAAGGCCTTGGGCATGCCTTCCAGGGGCCACAAGAGACCTGTAGAAAGGAAATAAAAATTTTTAAATGCAATATTGAGGCAAAGTTTGATCTCCTCTACATACCACACAAAATAATCATGGGGTAGAAAGCTCCAGTGGCCACGAAATTTGCCTCTGTATGCGATTTACAATAGACCGATATCAGCAAACCTAAAAAAAGATTTTTTTTAAATAAATTTTTCTCTCTCTTCACAAATTAACACCTCCGTTTACACAATTTTTTTTTGTGTAATTTTCTTACCAAACAACATGCCACAAAACGAGGTCAATGTCAATAAAAATATCAGCGTTGTCGTATCGCCCTTATTATAGGTGTCAAACACTAAACCAATATAGACGATTACTTCAATGCTCTGCGCCACCATGATAATGAATTGGGTCAACAAATGGGCCCACAACATTTGTATGGCCGAAACACCGGCCACCAGGGTGCGATCCCAAACACCATCCAAACGCTCCTCAATGAAAACGGAAGCGGTCATCAAGGTGGCCAAGAAGAAGACCATGCTGGAAAGAAGGGAAAAATAAAAATTGGAAAGAATTCTTTAAATTCTGTAAAAAATTCTTTAAATTATTTTTTTTTTAATCTGTACTTTGAGGCCTTTAAATTCTCTCTCTCTCTCTTCGCAGACCTCAAAATCCGTACTTGGAGGCCTTTAAAATTTTTTTCAAAAATATTTAATTTTATTACTTACGTCATTACAACCCCAGGTGCCACATAGCGCTGGAATTCCATATCCTCAGTACCATAAATGGGTTCTTGCATATTCACCGGGATCGAAGCCAGGCTGGGAGAATAATTACAATCGCTGACGACCTCCTTAATGAAGCTGCCATATACTTCACGCAATTTCCTTTCCAAATAGTAGGAGATTTGGCGATCTGAAACCGAGTCAAAAAAATTCGAAATTAAATTCAGTTTGGAGCGGGATCGAACGGAATTTTCCCCTTACCCGTATTATCTAAATGCACCGTAACCTGAGAATTATCAATGGCATCATCTTCGGCATAGCGTCCATCTTCTAAGAATGTCTGCATAGAAGTGGAAAAGTTACGGGCAAAATAGACATAACCCAGAATTTTGGCCTTTTTGGCATCACGATGGGCCTCCTCCAGGTTGGAATAAAATACCTGAAAAGAAATATATATTTTTTATCATTTTTTCTTTCTAAAAAAATCCCAACAATTTATGTACTCACCCTATGCAGGTGATCTGACCCCTCCAGCCCCGTTATATAGCGACATGATAAATTACTAAAATAGCAGGTATCATTCGCTGGGGTCACCGTTATCAAATCAGGGTTATAGCACGATTCCCATTGGCGCACCTCATCATTGACAATACCAATCTTGAGATTTGTGGGTGTCTTGCCGACGGCCATATAGAAACAGGACAGTTGAATGATGGGAAAGAGTAACATGAAAATAATTCCTCTGCAAAAAAGAGAACCAAAAGAAGAGATCAGTTGCTAGGATACCTCTTAGAAAAAAATCTTCTTCTTCCAAAACTTACGAGGGCTGTCTAAAAAGTTGTACAAAATTTTTCGTCATCAGCGCCTTGATGCGACCCTTCGTGGTGAAGAAACACTTTTTCGTATTATCATTATCTTCCTCTTCGATTTGTTGTGGAGGCTTCTCACTCATCGACTTCTCTGTGGGCTGCATAATCGACGAGGCATCGATAACCTCAACACCATTACAAATTGCGTTGCTGTTATGATGATGCTGCTGTTGGGAAGGTAACTGGGCCAATGATGCCTCAATGACATCATTATCACCCTGCTTTTGACTCAATATCAGAAAGGCATCCTCAATGGAATTCACCTCGAAGCGTAGCATTATATTTTCCGGTGTATCTTCGGCCAATAGCACACCTTTGCGCATGAGACCGATCTAGGAAAAGAAAATTATTTTTGTGAAGAAGTTCTCTTCGAAGTATTGAAAGTTTGTTACTTACACAATTGGCTTGTTTAGCCTCCTCGATATAATGTGTCGTTATAATCACAGCCATTTTACTATTTCTGGTCGTCTCCACCAGGAATTCCCAGATTCTGAAAAGACAACAACAAGAATATGATGATAATTTGAATTCTAACCAAATTTTATATTTTTTCTTTTATTTTCAGGTAAATATTACGATAACAGAGCTCCTCTCTCAAGGATTTACATAACTCTGTTAATAACAGAGTTCTATCTCGAAGTATTAACAGATCTCTGTTAATAACATGGTTTGTAAAAATGACATTGATGTCCTCCACACCCTCTAAAGTATTAAATTTTCGTATTTTTTCGTAAATATTCTCATAACAGAGCTCTTCTCCATGAATTTACATAACTCTGTTAATAACAGAACTGCTTCTCGAAGTGTTAATAGACTTCGGTTAATGGCATGGTTTGTAAAAATGACTTGATGCTTTTCACACCCTCTAAAGTATTAAATTTTTGGATTTATTTCCATAATTTGGGAAATTTTGAACTCTGTTAACATTTTTAACAGACCTCTGTTAATAACATAGCTTCAATTTTTGAAAATTTTTTTTTCGCTTCTCCACACATTAATTGGCTTTTAAATTGAAGAAATTTATTTTTTTTCTAAACTCTGTTAAGTTAACAGAGCTCTGTTATTAACATAATTACGATTTTTGGAAAAAATGTCAACATAAATTCATATTGTATGATTTCCTAACTTTATCGGATATTTAAAAGTAAAGAAATATACATTTTTTGCGAACTCTGTTAAGTTAAAAGAGTTATGTTAATAACATAATTTAGATTTTTATCCACTAGGCAATTTTTTACCACATATTTAGTAGATTTTCTTGGAATATTCAATAATTTGTGATCTCTGTTAAGTTAACAGAGTACTGTTAACATTTTAACAGAACTCTGTTATTAACATAATCTTGAATTTCTTTAAAAATGTATAGTATACTTCCTCCCATTCCATGCTGGCTTTAAAAATTCAAGAAATTGGCATATAGGAAAATTCTGTTAAGTTAACAGAGGTCTGTTAATTTAACATTATTTCAATTGGTTGTTAATTAGTCGGCAGAAGTTGGCGTGCAATTAATCAAACATTCCCGACCTTTTAAATTTAAGAAATGTAGACTTTCACATATTCTGTTAAGTTAACAGAGCTCTGTTAATAACATAATCTCGATTTTCTGTAACATATTTAACATAAATTGATAGAAAATGAAGTTCAAGAAATCAGCATTTTAATCAATTCTGTTAAGTTAACAGAGGTCTGTTAATAACATAATGTTAGAAACAGAGCTCTGGTTATAACATTTTTCTCAAATTTAATGGAAAATTTCTCAGTTTGATTATTTTTTCACATCCAAAAACTCTCAGAAGTAATTTTGTGTCACTCTCTGTTAACTTAACAGAGCTCTGTTCATAACATTTAGCTCTGATAAAAGGTGAAATATCGCCAATTTGACAATTTTCGACACATTTAAATGATTTGGAATTTGGAAAATCAAAATTTTTGGGCACTCTGTTAACTTAACAGAGCTCTGTTATTAACATATTAAATTCTGTTAATAACATTTTACACTCTGTTATTAAAAAAACTTAATTTAGATAACAAATTCACAATTAAATCAATTTTCGAGACCCTCTGTTATCTTAACAGTGCTCTGTTAATAACATTTTCGATTCTGTTAATGACATTTTTTTCTATTTTTCACATATTTAAACATTTTAAAAACTCTCAGAGGTAATTTGTTGTCCCTCTGTTAACTTAACAGAGCTCTGTTAATAACATTTGTCATTCTTTTATTAACATTTTTTGTAAAAAAATCTAAAATTAGTGAAAAAATCCTCAAAAAATCCTGAAATCAATTTCGGGTCCCTCTGTTAACTTAACATAACTCTGTTAATAACATTTGTCATTCTGTTAATAAAATTTTTTCTAAAAAAATCTAAAATTAGTGAAAAAATCCCCAATTAAACTACCCTACAATAACAAAAGTCAATTTTCGGGTCCCTCTGTTAATAACATTTTTTCCAAAACATGTCAAATTTTGGGGGAAATCCTCAATTAAACTACTCTACAATAACGAACAGGAATTTTCAGGACCCTCTGTTAACTTAACAGAGCTCTGTTAATAACATTTACCATTCTGTTATTAACATTTTTTCTAAAAAATTTTAAAATTAGTAAAAAATCCTCAACTAAACTACGTACAAGAACTAAAATCAATTTCGGGTCCCTCTGTTAACTTAACATAACTCTGTTAATAACATTAGCCATTCAGTTATTAACATTTGTTCTAAAAAAAATTAAAATGATTAAAAAATCCTCAATTAAACTACGCTACAATAACAAAAATGAATTTTCGGGTCCCTCTGTTAACTTAGCAGAGCTCTGTTAATAACATTTTACATTATGTTAATAACATTTTTTGCAAAAAATATCAAATTTGGGGAAAATCCGCAATTAAACTGCTCTACAATAACGAAAATTAATTTTCGGGCGCTTCTGTTAACTTAACAGGGCTCTGTTAATAACATTTTACATTATGTTAATAACATTTTTTGCAAAAAATATCAAATTTGAGGGGAAATCCGCAATTAAACTACCCTGCAATAACAAAAATCAATTTTCTAGCCCCTCTGTTAACTTCACAGAGCTCTGTTAATAACATTTTACATTATGTTAATAACATTTTTTTTGCAAAAAATGTCAAATTTTGGGGGAAATCCGCAATTAAACTACTCTACAATAACGAAAATGAATTTTCGGGTTCCTCTGTTAACTTAACAGAGCTCTGTTAATAACATTTTACATTATATTAATAACATTTTTTTGTAAAAAATTTCAAATTTGGAGGAAATCCTCAATTAAACTCCCTGCAATAACAAAAATCAAATTTCGCGACCCTCTGTTAACTTAACAGAGCTCTGTTAATAACATTTTACATTATGTTAATAAAATTTTTTGCAAAAAATGTCAATTTTTGGGGGAAATCCGCAATTAAACTACTCTACAATAACGAAAAAGGATTTTCGCGTCCCTCTGTTAACTTAACATAACTCTGATAATAACATTTGTCATTCTGTTAATAACATTTTTTCTAAAAAATATCTAAAATTGGTAAAAATCTGCAATTAAACTACCCTGCAATAACAAAAATCAATTTTCGGGTCCCTCTGTTAACTTAACAGAGCTCTGTTAATAACATTTTACATTATGTTAACATTTTTTGCAAAAAAATTCAAATTTGAGGGGAAATCCGCAATTGAACTACTCTACAATAACGTAAATTAATTTTCGGGACCCTCTGTTAACTTAACAGGGCTCTGTTAATAACATTTTACATTATGTTAATAACATTTTTTGCAAAAATGTAAAATTTTGGGGGAAATCCTCAATTAAACTACTCTACAATAACGAACAGGAATTTTCGGGTCCCTCTGTTAACTTAACAGAGCTCTGTTAATAACATTTTACAATCTGTTAATGACATTTTGTTCTTAGAAATGTCAAATTTTGGGGAAATCCATAATAAAGCTATCCTACAAGAATGGGAATCAATTTTCTAGACCCTCTGTTAACTCAACAGAGCTCTGTTAATAACATTTACCATTCTGTTAAAAACATTTTTTCAAAAAAATGTCAAATTATAGCAAAATTCCGAATTTAATTACCCTGCAATAACGAAAATCAATTTCCGGCACCCTCTGTTAACATTTTTCTTCGATTTTGTGACAAAAGATCTCAAATATAAAATTCTCGGCCCATTTGAACCTCTCCTAACCAGTTATGTGATTTTTGGACCCCTCTGTTAACTTAACATAACTCTGTTAATAACATAAAACCTTTAATTTTTAGAAAAAAAATCTCTTTCGAACTTACTTTTCTCTCAGCATTGGATCCAATCCAACGGTCGGTTCATCCAATATCAACAATTCCGGATCGTGGATCATGGCACATGCGAATGAAACACGCCGCTGTTGGCCACCACTGCATTTCTTTACCAATTGTGTGGCCGGGGGCAGTTGCAACAGATCACGTAAAATTTTAAATTTCTCACGAATCTTATCGTCTTTCATGCCATAAATTCGACCGAAATAATAGACGGTCTCTTTGACGGTCATTTCTTCGACCAAGGCAATTTCCTGGGAGGGAGAGAGAAGGGTTAATTTTTGAAGCAATTTGTTGAGGGAATTTTCAAAACTTTACCTGAGGCATATAACCAATCCTTGACCCGGGTATACCACTACCCGGTGCACCAGGTTTAAGACCCAATACCCTTACATCACCGCTATTGAATTGACGTTGGCCCACAATACATGAGAGGAGGGTGGTCTTACCGCATCCAGAGGCACCCAATAGGCCATAGCTAAAAATCGAGAGACAACAACAAATGGTTATGTTATTTTTTGTTGTTGTAGAACATGAATATAGAAAATGAAACTGATTTTTTGTTTTCGGACGACCTTGTTTAAAATTCTTTTGGCGTATTTTCAAGACAAGTGTGGACTACGGTTTTTTTTCTTCTTTTAAATATTCTACTCACATGGAACCACGCTGGACATTCATATTCAAATAGTTGAGTATAATTTTCGGCTTTGATTTGCTGCCATAATATTTGTAGCCATTTCGTACTTCGACGGCCGCCGACATTTTCGTGGTCGTTTATTTGTTTGTGAATCAATTAGTTGGCTGAGGGGGAAAGGTGGGGAGGTGTGGAGGGTTATCGTAGCTCTATCGTTCGTACGTTCTGCTGCTGTTATAGTTTTCAAATGTTAGTTAAAAATATTATCTCCAAAGCCGCCTGGGTCCCTTAATCGTCCAGGTTGTTTTTTATGTTAAGCGGGGGGACTCAAGGCTTCAACTTCGTTACTTGTTCTACGATTTCATTTAATTTTTTGATCCATAGATAAAAAATTCTAATGTTCCCGGAATCGATCTTCTCTTCTCATACACGTCCCGCTGTTCTCTGTTCTTCTGCTACAACTTTCAATCCGGCTTGCTTGTGTGGCTAAACGCTGCGCATAAAAATTTAGTTTCGTCTCGTTTTTATTTTTTCTTTCTTGGCGGGTTCCCCTTTTTATGATCTTCTTAGGTTCCTTTTGTTGTTGTTGTTGTTATTGCCATAGAAATGCGTAGCTATAAAAAAAAAAAAAATAATTTAAAACGAAATCAATTTAAAATTCAAGAGCATATCACATAGTTTGATCCGTCAATTATTTATTTTTTTATTATTATGGAAAATAAGAAGACAATGGAGGAGAAAAAAATACAACAACAAATCACCCCACACAGAAGCAAAATGCTTGGCATTCTACAAATAAGGAATAGAATAATTCATTGTGTACATATATATAGTTTATGTTAATGAAATATCGGAATTTGTATTCTCCACTCAGCAGAGAGGGATATTTTGCCTTGCAAGCAATTCAAGGGTTCATATTTTTATTTCAAAGCAATTTTTTGGTATTCAACAAAAGTGATTTTTAGACTTCTATATCTCCTCTACATTCTCTGTAAATTTGGGTAAAATATTTCAAGAAATAGCCAAGTTACAGGCCAATAATCATGTGCGCAAAAATTTTGAAAAAATGTTTTGGGAAATCGAGTTCTCTAGGAAAAATAATTTTTTGAATATTGCAAATATTTTTATATTTTAATTTTTTTAGAGGCTACAATATCTCCTCTTAGATATCTGAAAAATTTCGTCAAAATATTCCTCGAAATACTCAAGTTATAGCCCAATAATCATTGGCGCAAGAGATTTGAAAATATCAGGTATTTTTGCGTAAGCAAGTTCTAAGGGGGATAACTTTGTAAGTATTCCAAATATTTTTATGATTTCAATTGTTATAGAGCCTACTATATCTCCTCTTAAATACCAAGCAAGTTTTATCAAAATATTCCAAGAAATACTCGAGTTATAACCCAAAAATCATTCGTGCAAGAATTTCGAAAGATTCGATTATTTTTGGGTAAACGTATTCTAAGTATCATAACTTTGTAAGTATTCCAAATATTTTCTTGATTTCAATTTTTATTGAGCTCTCAATATCTCATCTTAAATATCTGAAAGTTTTGTCAAAATATTCCAAGAAATACTCGAGTTATAGCCCAAAAATTATTCGTGCAAGAATTTACAATAATGAGGGTATTTTTGCGTAATCGTTTTCTATTGACCATAACTTTGTAAGAAATCCAAAAAAATTCATAATTTCAATTGATTTTGAAAGCCAATACATCTATTTTTCAAATTGTGATAAGCGGGGTTGCCATATCGTAACAAATACCCAAGTTATACCCCAAAAATTATTCGTGCAAGAATTTTGAGAGAGTCGGGTTTTTTTTGGTAATAGTGTTTTAAGACCCATAACTTTGTAATAACACCAAATATAACTACGATTTTATATGATTTTGAAAGCCAACTGATCTATCTTTCAAATTCATGCACGCGAGGTTACCATATCGTAACAAATTTCTGAGATATTCACCAAAAACTTTATTACATGAATTTAGGAAAAGTCGGGAATTTTTGCGTAATCGGGTTTTAAGACGGATAGGTTTTTAAGTATTCCAAATATTTTCATGATTTCAATTGTTATTGAGCTCACAATATCTCCTCTGCGTTATCTGCAAGTTTCGTCAAAATATTCCAAGAAATACTCAAGTTATAGCCCACAAAACATTCGTGCAAGAAATTTTGGAAAATGGGGGTATTTTTGCGTTATGAGATTCTAAGGAGGATTTTTTTCTTAAGTGTCCCAAAAATATTTATAATTTTGATTGATTTCAAGACTACAATATCTCCTCTGCGTTATCTGCAAGTTTCGTCAAAATATTCCAAGAAATACTCAAGTTATAGCCCACAAATCATTCGTGCAAGAATTTTGAAAGAGTCGATTATTTTTGGGTAAACGTATTCTAGGTATCATAACTTTGTAAGTATTCCAAATATTTTCATGATTTCAATTGTTATTGAGCTCACAATATCTCCTCTGCGTTATCTGCAAGTTTCGTCAAAATATTCCAATAAATACTCAAGTTATAGCCCACAAAACATTCGTGCAAGAATTTTTGGAAAATGGGGGTATTTTTGCGTAATCGTTTTCTATTGGGATTTTTTTCGGAAATTCAAAAATATTTATAATTTTGATTGATTTTGAAAGCCAATATCTCCTTTTCAAATATCTGCAAATTTCGTTGCCAAATATTCCAAGAAATTTCTCGAGATATATAGCCAAAAAATTATTATGCAAGAATTTTTAAAGAGTCGATTATTTTTGGGTAATCGTATTCTAGGTATCATAACTTTGTAAGTATTCCAAATATTTTCATGATTTCAATTTTTATAGAGCTCACAATATCTCCTCTGCGTTATCTGCAAGTTTCGTGAAAATATTCCAAGAAATACTCGAGTTATAGCCCACAAAATATTCGTGCAAGAATTTTTAAGGATTCAGCCATTTTTGCGTAATCGTTTTCTATTGACCATAACTTAGTAAGAAATCCAAATAAATTCATAATTTCAATTGATTTTGATAGCCAACCGATCTATTATTCGAATCCATGCACGCGAGGTTGCCATATCGTAACAAATTTTCCAAGATATTTACCAAAAAACTTTATTACATGAATTTAGAAAAAAGTCGTAATCATGTTCTAGGAAGGATAACTTTTTAAATACCTCAATTATTTTCCTAATTTCGATTTATTTGGAGATTGGAATATCTTCTCTTCGATATCTGCAAGTTTTGTCAAAATATTCCAATAAATACTCAAGTTATGGCCCACAAAACATTCGTACAAATAATGAGGGTATTTTTGCGTCATCAGGTTCTAGGGACAATAACTTTGTAATAAATCGAAATAAATTCATAATTATAATTGAATTTGAAAGCTAAGACCTCTATTTGTAAATGATATGTACGCGAGGTTGCCATATCTTTACAAATTTTCGAGATATTCAACAACATTTTTATTACACAAAAATTTGAGAAATTGTATGTAATATGTGTAACGACTTAAATTATTGCAATTAAATATCTCGAAATATGTAGCTGAATTGGAAATTTCGTTGCTGAATAACATTTTATGCAGCTGAATATCATTAAAAGTGAAAAAATATTAACGCAAAATTAATTTAATTTAGCTGAATTAGAATTTTTGCAGTTGAATTCATTTATTAGTAGCTGAATTGCATTTTAAAACAACAAACTGTATGCAATATGTGTAAAAACTTCAATTATTGTTTTTAAATATCTCAAAATCTGTAGTTGAGTAGGAAAATTCCTTGCTGAATGACATTTTATGCAGCTGAATATCATTTAAAATGAGAGGGTATGTGGTAAATGTTCCCAAAATTGAAATAAATTGACTCAAAATTCTTTTAAACGATATAAAATCTTAAAATATATGCAATTTTACATAAAAAAATTAGCTGAATTTGAATTTTGCACCTGAATTAATTTATTAGTAGATGAATAACGTTTTAAAACATCAATTTGGATGTAATATGTGTAAAGACTTCAATTATTGGTCCTAAATATCCCAAAATATGTTTCTGAATAGCAAAATACCTTGCTGAACTACATTTTATGCAGCTGAATATAATTAAAAATGAGAGAGTATGTGATAAACGTGCACTAAATTGAAAATAAATGACTCAGAATTAATTTAACGGCGTAATATGATAAAATATATAACAGTGTATGTGAAAAAATTTAGCTGAATTTGATATTTTGCAGCTGAATTAATTTTTCAGTAGCTGAATAACACTTTACAATAACAAATTGGATGTAAAGTGTGTAAGGACTTCAATTATTGCTGAATAAGAAAAATACCTTGCTGAATAAGATTTTATGCAGCTGAATAGCAATAAAATTGAAAGGATATGTGATAAATGTGCTCTAAATTGACTCAAAATTAATTTATCGGCATAAAATAATACAATATATGCAATTTTTATTTTAAAAAATTAGCTGAATTAGAATTTTTGCGGCTGAATAACATTTTATTATCCAAGAATTTTATTAAACTTTGCAAAAATTTCATATATGTTCATTAAATATCCCAATATGTGTTGCTGCATAGCAAAATGCCTTGCTGAATAAGATTTTATGCAGCTGAATATCATTAAAAAGTAAAGGGTATACGAAAAATATACCCTAAAATCATTTTGCGTGCTGCTGATTAGCTGTAAGCTTGGCTGAATTGCCTAAAACTTGGCTGAATTACAATTTTTGACAGCTGAATAGGAAATTGATGACTTTATTTTGTATAAAATAAAGTCTTTATGATCTGTTTCAAGTGTTATTTTGACATTGATCACACCACATGCATCAATTCAGCATCAAATTTTTTTTTTCTACAAAATAAAATTGCATCCCATTTTTTTATGATAAACCTTCATTTTGTTTAAAAAACCTTCGAAATTTATAATTTTTTTTATTAGCACAGAAATTCATCACACCAGGAAGGACAAATAATAAACAAAACAAAATTGTGGGTACTTAAATCACTCTCTGGGTGTGTATGTGTGTGTGTGAGTGTATTTATTTGCTTGTAAACACAGTTAATATTTTAACTGTCATTTTAACAATGAACTGTCAATGAAATATGAGTTATGTGTCAACAGGTAAATAAAAACAACAAAA